TATTCAAAACTTTTTTCATATGCATTATCATGTTTACCATCTATTCAATAAACAGTTTATCGAGATGTTAAACTTGATTGAAGTTATTTATATTTGGAAAAGAAAAGTATTATTTAGTGGAGTTTTTCATCATATACAATGACAATAAATGTTTTAGAATGAGAAGAATTTTGTGGTAAAACAGGTCTTTGAACACTTTTTACTATTGAATGTTTAAATGAAAAAATTTTCGATAACATTCATACTTATAAAAAAAAGAAAATGAAGTTTTATTAGTTGTTGCCGCATAATTTCATATTATTGATCAATATTCCCCATCATCTGATATACATATTATACAATTAAAACAAATTCAATCATCAATTTTATTAAAAAATTTAGAAAAAAGAAAATTTTCTGGAACATCAAATAATTCAGTATCTTTAATAAATACTTCTTACAACATCAATGAATTATATTCCATACACAAATATTTCATTAGAAAAACATCTATCAATATGTGATAATTGTATATTTTTATATCGAACAAAATTAAATGATCATGATATGAAAATTATTGTTGAAAAAGCAATAAATATTAAACAATGTCATATATTGAATTTGCATTATAACTCTTTCGGGTGCTTTATGTAACAAATAATTACATAAATATAAAAAAAATATTAATTTAGATAAATATCAATCAATTTAAGAGTGTAGTATGAGTAACATGTTAGTCTTGTTTCTTACTTACATCCATACGCAGATCCACACACCTAGACCCAGACCCTCACATCTAAACTCACACCCTTAAATTGATTGATATTTATCTAAATTAAGATTTTTTTTATATTTATGTAATTATAATATTTGATTTGTACATTTTTTTGAATATAATAAATGATTCATAATGTGAAACTACTATTAAGTTAAGGCATTTCATATATGTTAAAAATCAAGTACATATAAGACTTATCTAACTTAACTTTTACGAAATAATTTCTTATGACTGTTTGGGTGCACATAGCCACTTCTATATGAAAACATTCATTAATCACAACATTTGTTGTTGCTCAAAGTTGATCCGATTGTTCACCAATACATGCTGAAATAGCAATAGGAGCTTTTTTACAATAATTTCCGATAAATAACTCTCCAGTATATTGACGTATTATATTGATATATTTTGCAAATTTTATATATAAAGTATTACTCATACTGGTAGTTTGACCATCAAATGAAGCTGAAAAACGTACTTATAAAATATTTTCAACATAAAATTCCGCTACAAATAAAAATTGAAGTGTTTAACAATTATCAATAGATTCATAACAACAATTAGATAATAATCAGAAAAATTTTCATACTATACTTGGTGGACTTATTCAATTAATATCGGTTCAAATTGATCAGAAGATAATTGCTGATGAAACAGTTCTTTATATTATTCAAGCCATGAAAACTAATGTATCAATCAAATCTGATTGTGATGGGACATTAAATTATATTTTCATAAAAGTCAATGAGTTCGTCAAAAAAAATAATTGGAAATAATTCTGATGAAATATAAAAATGACGAAGAGAATTATATCAAAGTAAGAAACTATAGAAATGTCAAACAAAGAAACGATGAGTAGATTCAATTCAATCAAATTTATTTATTAAAAAAGAACAGATCAAAGGCGAGCTTGATAAATCAGTTGACGAACATTAATTTAACTTTGTTTTATATCATCTTTACAGTAAATAATGAATTTTATACCAAATGAAAACGAGAGTTATCGATATTCTTCTGGCGAAATGCTATTTCTAACAATCAATAAATACAAATAGTATTATTCATCTACAAGAAAATTTTCATAATTCTAAAATAGATTTTTTTTAACAAATATAAAACGGATAAAAATATTATTTTAATGTCAATACAAAATTTAATAATATGAATTTATCATGTATGTTTTATTGATATTTATGTATAATAAACAAATAGAATTACAATGAAGAAAATCATAGAAGAAAAGAGATACTATTCGATTGATGATATTAAATAATAAAATAATCATTTATACATTCCTTAATTCTACGTTCTCGTTATTGGAGAAATCGAAAGTTTTGACTATTCAATAAGAGATAGATTTTATTCTAATAAATCGATTATCTTATCATATGAATTTATTTTTTTTACAATCATTTTTTATATAATCTAACCATTGATTTAGATTCATTCTTTATATTAATCTAATAAGATTGAAAATTTAAACACGTAATTATCTGTACGTACTCAATAGTAGGTATGATTAATTTTTATATTTTGATTTTTCGTAGAAAAAAAATACGTGTATATCTTTTGAAAATAATTTCACCTATGATAGACATGTGTGTAGGTAAGAAAAATTTTTCTTCGTATTAAGAAATTTGTTTTTGTCATTATATGATTTATAAAATACGTCGTTATTTTTTCAAGGTTTCTCTATTGATGCATATCGGTTTTATATTTAGTAAGGATGATTGTGAGATCAAAATATGTTATTTTTTATAATCCCCCTTTTTTCTCTATGGTGTGACCAATAGATATATAAGGATGAGAATCTTCACATAAAAATACCATTGTGCATACATCCTACCTTGGTTATTTATCTACACATCCGATCAACCAGCAATCAAAAAATGAGTGGTATTCAAACAATAGCTTATTTGGTTCTTGTCTCTTTATTCTTGACAATAAACTGTTATGTACAAGAAAACAGCAACGAAGATATGGTTGATGACAGTTATTATGGTGCTCGCCGACACTTGGTAGCAGAATATCTCAGCCAATACGTTGACAAACGTGCTGCTGCTAAATCAGTTTGTGGTGGTACTACTCAATGTGCAGATTTTTGTAATTCAAATACCCGCTATGATGCTAGTACTACATGTGGTTTGACTTGTTATGATAGTAAGTGGGTAGAAAAAGTTGGTAGTACAGGCACTTGTCAACTTAGTTCTAATGTTTGTGCTGGTGCTTCTTCTACTTTTTGTCCTGGTGGCAATTATACTAGCGTTCATAATGGTTTTTCAGGCAATCCAAGTTATTTCGATTGCGGTAACGGTTATGGTTGTGGTACCAATGGAGGATGTTGTGTTCGTATTGCTGGTCAAACTGCTAGTACTTGGCAATATTATTGTCTGAAATGCAATCAAAGCTAAAACTGATGAACAGTTTTATTATATGAAGAGAACTTTATTCATGCTCTGCATGTATCTATTCTTACTTAGTTAGTTTCATTATGTATCTTTTATAGTGTGCGTACTTCTTTTTTTTAATCTTTTCTCATTAATATAATCATCTTTTTTTTCTTGTACTCTTTAATTAATACTCTATTATTGACACATAAAATGTTTTCTTTCTAAAAATTCTTTTTTTGTGATATTACGTATAGAAACAATTCAAAGTTTTCAATAAAATCTTCATAGTATAGAAAAGTCTTTCGTTTTAATCTTGTTATTTTTTATGTGTTTTACTCATAGAAAAAGAAAAATAAGTATACAACCACATGAGAAAAGACGAAGAATAGAACGAAATAAAAACAAAGAGTGATTAATAATATATAAAATTACTTTAAGTATTATTGAAGCAGACGAAAAAAGTATAAAGAATGAGGATTTATTTCATTCGTTTTTCGACTAATTCAAAAAATCGATTGATCTAGTCTAAAGCTTTGAACAAACTAGAAAGTTTTATATTATGTCATTGGTATAAGTCTAAATCCGATCTATTGAATTTCGAATCTATTTCGGTTTTGATCAAGTTAGAATCTAGCAGAGATAGAGAAAAGATTTTCTGTTCAAGTCATAAAAGATATCATCAATAAAAACAAATAAAAAAAGACGTGACCATTCTGAATGTGAATTTATTTTTTTCAGTAATTTAGTGTGATGGTCTATAGACACGTGTTTAGATTATTATTCTTTTCATTTGTACATATATACAGTTAATAAGTGTATTATAATTTTTTTGTATTGTATTGAATATGTTTTTGTTTTGATGATTGTGATCATAATGACGTAAATACATTCAAGGACTGATCAAATTTCGATGATGATATAAATATTTCGGTTGTTTCACATCGAATATGTTCGTCGTTTTTTTTATTATGGTAACTTCGCAACTTATGAAGATAATATAAAGTCTCTTTTCATTCGTTTTTATTGAAGAAAAATTTCTTCAACTCACTAAAATTGCCAATACATCTTATGATTGAAAAGGTTATGGATATCATAGATATGATACACTTACAACCTGAGCGAATGATTGAATAGTTGATATATTATACGAAAAGAAAATACCACGAAATAAGGTAATAACAGAAATAGGGTGTGTGTGGGTGTAATCTATGTAGGTGATAGTGTCCACACCCACCATTTTCTTTGAAAATATTATTTTAGTTAATTAATATTTAAATCAATTTAAGTATAGACAGACCAATAATATTAGATTTAATTACAAGAGTTTCGATAAGAATAGATAATCACATGTTTACTTGAGATAAGTATAAATTCAGATATTTTAAATTTTATTTGTTACTGCATCATGAAATAAAAATTCAATTTATAAAATAATTACTTTTAAATGATTTTAGTCATACGTAGTGAGGATTATTTTTCTACTGTTAAAATATAATTTATAATAATTGTTATTCTCTTTAGAATCGAATAAAGTTAATGACAAAACATTGAATCCATTTTTTATTGTTAAGGTCAAGGAAAAATGATTACTATTATCATTAATTGAGTTTAAGTAAACTAAGAAAAACAGAAATCACAGACATATGGGTCATGTTACAAACAAAAAAAGAATAAAAGTAAGCTGTCTTAAGCATCCAGCTGATTCGTTGTATTTGTTCAATTTTATCAAATCATTCAATTGCATTTTCTTATCTTTTATTTCTTTTAAAATAAAATATATACATCTAAAATATCTCAGTTCTTTCATCTTCAAAATTAGTTTGTTAATGATAATTTCTAATTCTTTTTCTTCGCTATTGCGTATCATTAATATCAAGTGTAACTAATTTGCTTAGAGTTTCATGTGTTGGAACTAGATCTTTTTGTGTTCGCAATTGAGTATAAACGCCATATCCAACTTGTTGCATTTCCATATATACATGAACTAAATTTAGATAAATTCGAATTGATCCTACTGATCCATAACGATATGCTAAATATTTCCATAGAAGTGTTATATATCCATTTTGAGTTTGAAAAACAGCTTGTTTTTTCTTTAGTATTTTTGTTGGTGTTGGAGAATTATCATGATAATGAAGAGGAGTAGAAAAGAATAATATAATAACAAACAAACGTGTCACTATTGGATCAGTTGTCCATGATTTCTCAGCCATTTTTTCTGCTCTATTAAATTCTTCGTATAATTGTATGCCACAAATTAACTGCCATGTTTTATTATAAGCATTCACCTAGAACACAACAAGAAATGATAGTTTATCTTATTGAAATAAATAACTAGTTTTGAATGATTTTGACTCTTTTTTACCTGCCATGGTTCAGCATAACATGATTGATTAAGTTCATGAAGATTAGGAAAGATTAATGGTCGAATATTAGTTTTATATAGATAATTTCGAGTGGAACGAGGGAGGGAATAATAGGCTGGTAATGTTTTAAGAAATGAAGAAACTGCAAGAACAATACTCATTGTTATAGTTGTTGGATAAATATTGTATGGCTGTTCATTTGGTGATTGTGGTGTTCTATTAAAAATAACTGAAGAACGTTGTTGAACATAAGTTTTGATACAACATGACTCATAAGCATAAACAATATTTGATAAATGACGCCAGTCTATCTCTACTGATAGATCCATATTATTCACCATATGCTGCAAAAGAAAATGTAGAACAATATAAAAGTAATCCTTATAACACTTTAATTAATGAAGATGAATATGTAGAGATCATTCACAAATCATTGTTATGTCTTAGAATATTATGACACTGGAAATACAATAAAGTTTCTTAGCTTTAGATATAACATTGAAATAGTTAATTGTTTATTTAAATCTTTTTCATTAATATTTATTCACTGTTTGTTTTGAGAACTTTGACCTCGATACATTTTAATTAACTAAAATAATAATTATTATTATTTAATGTATCCGTTAGAGGATATGATGAACCAATATGATAGAGAAGCAAGTTAAGGGAATTTTTCTCATTCGAATTTTTATACATTCGTTACTCATCCTAAATAAATATTTTTTATTATCGTTTGGCTACTTATAATCTTTCGGGAAGTCGAATAAATTGTTCAAATGAGAATTAATTGTCTTCTCTTGAGATTAAATATGAAATTAAGAAAATTAATTTCATGTAGAAAAAGCATGTGATAAGTACTTTGAAATTAATGACGCGCGTATAGAAAGCAACTATATCGTACAAAAAAAAGAATATAGAAACGAACCGTTTGACACTCTCACGTGTGATATACACAAATGTATAAGATGTACAGTAAAAACAAAATTCTATAGTTAAAATATCAGAAATATATGACTTAAGTTATAATCAATATTGAGAATTCTACCAGTTATTCCCTCTACTGAAAGGAGGGTATTACGCAGAATGAGCAAACTTCGTTCGTTCGTGAATCCGTCCGTCCGTCCGTCCGTTCGCTCTGTCTGATTGGTTGATTTAAAGTTCTAATTCTTTCGTGCTATAAGGGTTGACCAAAGGGTAATTGGAATCGGGGAACTCGAATTTGATGTTAGTTTTTTACAAAAAATTTTTTAGTAATATTTTTTTACAAAAAGTTTTTAAGGAATATTTTTTTGCAGAAATTTTTTATACGATAGTTTTTATCAAAGGATCAATTTTTTACAAAAATTTTTTAAACAATATTTTTAACGAAGGACCATTTTTTTACAAAAAATTTTTAAGGAATATTTTTTAACAGAGGACCATTTTTTTACAAAATTCTTTTTCCGTATAAAGTTTGATCAAAGGTAATCGGGGTCGAGGAGCTCGAATTTGAGGTTAGTTTTTTAGAATTTTTTTAGGTATCAAATTTTTTAAGCAATGGACCACTTTTTGTACAAAAAAACTTTTTCTTATAGAGTTTGATCAAAAGTAATCGGGTGGGGGGACATGAATCCGATGTTGGTTTTTTGAAAATTTAAGAGATTTAGTAATGGTTACATCATAGAAACTCTAGTTGAAGTAAGCGGAAGAAAAGTTAATAACTCAGTATCAGTTTTAATTAAAGATTTTTCCGTTGTTGACTATCACACGCCATGTCTTTCGATATAATTGTAGCAGAAAAATGTAAATAAAAGCGAGATATCTGGTCGCGACCCTGGTGTTGGATCTTCATCGGCATCATATATATAACTATCATTCCAAATATGCGAAGAACTATGCTAGACGAATATGCTCTATGCGCAGCGATTTACAAAACAGTACTTCCTTGTTTCAGTCTCTTTTTAGGGATCGTATTACCAGAAGCTTATCGCGTTTTGTAGTGACACTGAAAGGAAACCAATTTATTTCCCTCAAAAGTGAAGGATATAGTGAAGGTATCCATAAAAACGGCTAGTCGTGAGTGGCCGACCGGAGGGAGACCGACGAACGTTTAGACGTTAATTTGGGAAGTTAATACAATGTATAGACTTAAAAATTCGCAAGTAGCTTGAACGGTTTTGTCGCAGGAACCTAACTGATATTCTCTTTCTCGTAGAGAAGAGTCCAGTAAACATAAATTGTCTGCTTGATTGCTTGCTTGTATGTCCGCAGGGTCCAAACAACATTGAAATTTAATTTTTCAGATACTTCCGGAAAACTTTGACTGGGGGGTAATTGAGTGTGGAGAACTCGAATCTGGGATTGGTTTATTAAAATTAATTAGTTAATAATTAGTTAATAATTAATATTATTAATTTTTGAAGTATTTTCGAAAAAGTTGGAGCAAAGGGTAATCGAGTATGGAGAACTCGAATCTGAGATTGATTTATTAAGATTAATAAGTTAATAATCAGTTAATAATTGATATCATTAATTTTTGAAAAAAGTTTGACCGAAGGGTAATCGAGTGCCAAGAATTCGAATGTGAGATTAATTTTAGTTAAAAATCAATTAATAATTAATTAATATTATTAATCTTAAAGATAGTTCCAAGAAAGTTTTACCAGAGGGTAATTCGAGAATCGATTTTTTAGAAAAGACATTTTTGAGGCATTTCGATGCGGAAGCTTCGAATCTGATGTTAGTTTTATAAAATAATTTTATGGATCACTTTTTTAGGGAGAGAACCAATTTTTATAAAAAAAAAATTTTCACAAGGGGTGACCGAAGGGTAAGTGGGATGGAAGAACACAAATCTGGTGTTAATTTTTCCAAACTGTATAAGCAAAAAGTTTAGTATTGTAGAATACGATTTCGACGAGAAAGAGCTGAGCGAGTCCGCAGACGAGCGTTACTTGTTCCTACGAGAGTGAATCAGCCAGGTTATCATTTTCCTGAGAATAAAAGAGAAATTAAAATCTGTGCTGAAAGCCACACACTGTTATGTAAATTCTAGAAGTTTTTGATTACGAATCTAGTCAATATGAGTGGCTTAGTTTTCATATGTAGAAATGATCATGTGACTCGTGAGAAAATAGAAAAATATACTATGTATGTCAACGGCTGGTCGTGGCTGGCCGACCAAAGGGAGGCCGACGAACGACAAGACGTTAGTTTGTCAGCTTAAAGTGTGTCAAATGAGTCACAGTGAAAGACTTTTTGAGAAGTGATCAAGTGATTCGATTAATGAACCAAAACAAATTTTTATCTCATTACGAGGATGGTGATCGATCCGATCAAATCCTTTCAGTAGAGGGTCAGCGGCGATTGCGTCGCGTTACTTGTATCTAGTAAATATGAATATATATATTATAAAGAAATAAAGCTACGTTTATCGCGTCAATTAATCCAAAGAACTATTTTCTTTTAGTTTCATAAAACTTCTTATATTCTGTCTTTTACTAAACATATTCATGTCACTAAATATAGACAATCTTTGTAAATGTACGTTATCTATTACGTTTACTAAAGCTTCTCTTTTTACTAAATACTGATAAAATACACGTTTTATACGTAGAGACAATATAAATGAAAAGTTTAAAATAGAAATGGATAATTTTACATTGATAAATGATCCAATTATTTCGTTTTCAGTCATCTATTTCCTATGATCAATATTTACCTGAGGAATTGATAATTCTTTTATTTCTCGTATTTGTTGTGTTAATAATTCTCGTTGTCGACGATTTATGTCAAGAAGCTGTTTATATCGTTCATTTTCTTCATCTGTTCGAACTAATTGTTCTTTCATTCCCATGTCAAAACAACGACGCAATCGACATGATGAACATCGACGAATTTGTAAATAACGCATTGTTCTTTCATTCATCTCATAATTATTCATCACTGATGCACTCATATCACGATGTCGACATGGTAATTCAAGAAGCTAAACAACAACAATAACAAATAGTTTTTCAGTAGAAAAACAACTGCTTTTCTTACCTCTTTTCGCCGTGCATTTCGTCGAAAAAAAGCTTTTATTTTCAAACAATAAAAAAGCAAATATGGTATAGAAAATACATGAAAATATGATGCAATACCTTTACAAGGAGCACATGTTAATACTCCAAAGTTGATTCCAATCGATTTTGATCCACATATAACACATTGATTAATAGAATCATGTGACTTTTGTCCGCAATAATGTATTCCTGAAGTTATTGGTTGAAATGCGTTGTTCTATTTCGTAATATAATATTAGAAACTTATTCTGTTAGATTTTGTCGTAGATTCGTAAGATTTTTCTCCTAAGAGTTCAGTATGCTTTCTTTTATACATGTGCTAGTGTTCTTAAATTAATTCCAACTAGACTAATGAAAACCTTTATAAATTTTTGTGAGAAAACTATAAATAAACTACTTCATGACTTTTATATTTTTAGATGAAATGTATAAGATTAAAAAAATATTTTATCATTTAATAATATAAATTGAGAAATATTCTGAATAACGAAACAAGTTTTCATTCTTTGAGCAAACCCGACTAAGAATGTGTCTAGCAGACTTTAATATTTAAAAATGTCCTTTCTAAAAATAGGAACTAATATGTGCGGAAGTGTTTATTTTCATGCATTCTTATTTATATAATGGGCTTTCAGGATCAACGGTCTGGAAATATTATTTCTTGATATTATTATTATTACTCTAGACTGCTCAACTAATTTGTTTCTCATAAAAGAAACAGTGATAAGTTTTTCTAAATGGAATATGACATATAGAGAGATAATCTCAAAATTATATAGATCAAAAATAATTTATACTAGAAATATTGAAAAGAAAAAGAAATAAAATCTTACCATTTGTCTATCATAATAAACATTATCTAATTAATTCATAATAATTGTTTTATTTGGCGTTTCAATTATAAATAATAATTTATTGAAATATTATTGAATTGTAATATTTATATATAAACACAACTTGTCTATAATAAAAAAGAAAAATGTAAAGAAACATGTTTTTACTCTTTCAGTATTTGGTTTCCTTTTTTTTTAATACGCAAAAGTATTCTCAAATATTTTAGTAGATTATTACTTCATTCGCTGATTAAGGAAGCACAAGAAATACGGTGTGGGTGTGGGTGTGGGTGTGTTTTGAATCCTTTATACGCCGTTAGACTCACACCCACCCTACGTCCACACCCTCACTCATACCCACACCCACACC